GCTCTACGATTGAACAATGGATTCAAGGAAAGACAAGTGGAACTATTGTTGTGAGTCGATCAATTTCACCACCAAGGTAGAGCTTGAATCTTTGACCATTGACTGTCAAAATTTCTTTCGAAACTGAATCTTCCAACATATTGCACCATAATGCCTCACCTCCTTGATTTGGAATAGTAAGACCATCTGTCTAGGTTTGAAATATCTAGTGAGAATTTTCTTTTCATGGTACTTCTTGACTTTTTGCTTGTAGAGTTTTTGGAAATCATAGGCTTGAAGTCTCATTTCATCCAATTCATGTAATTGCAACTTCCTCTTTTCTCCAAAAACTTTCGGATCAAAATTTAGAAACTACAACGGCCAGAATACCTTAGCTCTACCTCCACATAAAGGTGACATGCTTTACCATAAACCATTTGAAATAGTGTAAGACCAATTGAATCTTTGAAAGCGGTACGCTACGCCCATAAAGCTTCATCAAGCTTAAGAGACCAATCCTTCCTCAGCTTGCCCATTTGTTTGTGGATGGTATGGTGATGCAACTTTGTGTTTGACACCATAATGCTCAAGGGCTTTTTCAAGTTTAGAGTTGCAAAAATGCAAAAATGCTCAAGGGCTTTCACCATTGAAGATTTTTTTTGTATTGCAATCCATTCCAAAGAATGATGCTTAGGAGTTTGGGGCGACAACATATAAGTTAAGATTAGAATAAAACATGTTTAATGATTGTTTTTATAGTAAAATTTGATTACTTTATCCCTCGATTATTAAGGAAACCGAAGGGATATATCATTTAGTTTAAACTTATAAACAAATAAAAAGATAAGCTGCAATAGTTGGGATTCGAAGCGTGTCCTGAGTTGTTTTCCCCTTAGTTTTATTAAAAATATAGGGAAATCTTTGTCATGAAAGCTTTGTCCTGGCGCACCTTGGAATTTTACCTTGTTTTTTTATGAGGTGAAAGCTTCGTCATGAAATGTATTATTTGTAGTAATGTTAACGTCAACTTTCTGTTACAAAAATGCAGACATGGAAAACGCGGCTGGTGTGACACTAGTGATGTGGCTTAGGAGGACGAAATCCAAAAAATTAATTTTACAAATTCGTCTTCTTCTTCCTCAATCCATCTTCAACCTCTAACCTCCATTTTTTCTCATCTTCAACCTCCAACCTCCATTTTTTCTCATCTCCAACCCAACCTCCATCTTTTCATCTCCAAAATTTATTTTTCTTCATCTCCAACCTTTATTTTTTCCTCATCTCCAACTTCCAACCTTCGTTTTTCCATTTCCATCATCCATTTCTTCTTATCTATAACCTCTAACTTCCATTTTTTTCATTCTCACTCTCCATTTTTTCTTCATCTTCAACCTTCAACATCCATTTTTTCATATCCGACCTCCATCTTTAACCTTAAACCTATATCTCTAACCTCCATCTTCAACCTCTAACCTCTATCTCCAACTTCCATCTTCAACCTCAAACCTATATCTCTAACCTCCATCTTCAACCTACATCTTCAACCTCCATGTCCAACCTCCAAACTCTACATCTTGGTTATGTATTGGGATACAAGTTCACGTGTATTGGATGACATGCACATATGCCTTTTGGGTTTATATGCATTTTGTTTATGTTAGAAAATTTCAATTTGTGCCTTTCTGTGAGTGTAATATCCTCTATTAGATGTTTTGAATGATGTCAAAACTAGGAAGTATGTAATATCTGTATACTGGACGTTATCTCTCTATGTCTATATTGCATTCTCATCTTAGGACACTTAGGGATCGAGTCAAAACATCGTGGACATGTTAAGAACTTCAAAAATATGTATTTTTTTATATGAAAAAACGTGTTTAGAGTTGACTCACTTGTGTTAAGAGTCGACTCCCACTGAAAGAAATCTGAAAAGAAACTCTCTAGTCCAAAGGAGCCAACTCCTAGGGTCTTGGAGTCAATACATGACACGAAGGATTTAACTCCCACGTGTTAGGTATCGACTCCCACTGAAGCTGATTTCACAAAAATACGGTGTCCAAAAGGAGTTGACGCCCAAGAAGTATGTGTCGACTCCTTTTCACTTATGAGTCGACTCTCTCTTCATATGGGTCAGCTCCCACTGATCCAAATGTCAAAATTTGTAATTTTGTAACCTAATTATTTTTTCAGATTTCTCAAGTAAACACACACACACACACACGTGTATATATATATATATATATATATATATATATATATATATATATATATATATATATATATATATATATATATATATATATATATAAGCATTGCTCATCATCTTCATACTCTCTCTATGCATACACACAACAAATTACACATAATCATTCTTTGTTGGGCGCCATCTAGAGATAGTTTGACAACATCCAATTAGGATCAGTGTAATTGATTATGTTGAGAATTCTTTGGGGGTTTCAAATAAGAAAACTAAGTCGGGGTTCTCCTTCAATATCATTGGTGATTTGAATATTTTGGACAAGATCATGCAATTTGGATTCAGCGAGTGAAAGCTTCAAAGAGCAGTGGGTTCGGTCGAAGAAGTAACAGTAACCGAAGGATCACTTTGATAAATCTCGGATCATGATACGTTCATAATTTGGATTCAGTCGGGTGAAGTCTTTGAAGAATGAGGGTTCTTGCAAACGAGTAACATTAGACGTGGGATCAAATTGGAACTATCAGGTTCACTTGATCGTGCTCTGATCAAGGGGAGAGAACTAGTTAGGATCAACATCAACCATAGGGTTTGGAGGGTTAGATTTCTACTTGTTCTCTTGTAATCAATATTTTGCAAAGGTTAATTTTCATTATCTCAATTTCGAATGGAATTGGGAGCAGGCGTACCCATAGCGAGGCCGATTGGGGAACTGCCTAAACAATCCTTGTGTGTAAGTCTCTCTCTCTCTATGTCTCTTTCTCTTTCTTTTTTTACTTTACTTGCAAATTGTGAAACCATTGATTATGTGATCGATACATAGAGATTACTTCTTTGGTTAATACATCAAACTGTTTTTTTGATTTGATTACAATCTACGTGATTGTAATTGGTTTCTAATATCAACAAAATTATACAAAAACCAGTTTCATGCCGATTGCAAGTCAAGTGTTCGACAAATTGTCCCAACTAGTTTTTGTTTAGTATTTCATTATAAGTTGATTGCTACAGTGTGGTTTATTCAAATTTGGTTTGCTGGAAATATATTGGTTGTTTTTCTCATCATACGTAAAATTGTTCTATCGGTTTAACGCATATTCGATTTTTTTGATAACGGTTCAGATAAACGATTGTTGATCCATGTTTGTTTCCGCGTGCCATATTTTAAACATTTTAAAACAGAATTTTCATTAGAAAATTTCATTTGTGATCTACTCAACCCCTTCTAGATCATAGCCTATCGTCTAACACTTTCAACCTATACAAGTTTTACAATTCTTGTTATCTCAATTCATTAAGGTAATTCTTTAAGATCATACATAAAGGTCATTCATTAAGGTACGAGGACAAAAATAAAAACAAATCCAAACTTACAGGGATAAAATCAATTACATACTAACATTAAATTATTACATTAAAATGCTTTACATTCATTGAGTAGACACCTTTGATGCAATTTCTGAATTTCTTACATTAACAATTATGTAATTCTTGCAAACTCTTCTACTTTATTCACTAATGAACAATAGGGACGAAAGTCATAAACTTCCAAACTTACAGGGACGAAATATAAAAAGATATAGGCTCCAATTATTACATTGAAAAGTATTTTACAAACATTAATTATATATTTTTAAGTATGCAAAGAACAATATCCAAGAGAAATCAATAAAGTCATAAACAACTTGTCTTTGTTCTTTTCAATGTCCAACAACCTCTGAGCAATTGCAAGCGATTGGGATTCTGGGTTCACTTGATATGTTGCGAGCATATAGAGGATGACCCTTAAGTTCATTATCTCATATGAAGAGTATGCAACTACTCACTGTCTACGAATTTGAATAATGAAAATTACGATAGTCAGATGAACAATGTACAATGAACAATGAACAAGTTGAAGTCAAACTTACTCCCGAACTTATATATTTCTAATATCTCCTTTTAGAGCTTTCATTGGAATTGAACATGAACATCCTCATTGATCTATTACAACCATATTATGGGATTTGAAACGGGGTTGAGTTCTCAACAGAGGAGTTAGACATACTTTAATGTGTAAAATAAAGTAAAGAAAAAGATAATCCAGAAATCGAAGAATGATAAAGAAGATTTCGGAATAACACTTTTTTTTTGGTTTGATCCTTCCTTTTAATACCACCAAACTACATAATCCCAATCTCATCTGATTCATTAACTGAAACTTAAAAAATAAAGTCATGTTAGCGGCATTTACCATGTCAACATTTTTATAATGAAAAAATTGATATTAGAATTAAAACCAAATAAAAATAACATCCAAGTATTTTATCCAAAAAAAATAAAATAATACGGAACTAAAACAAAAAATAAGATGAATCTGATTGTATAGTAATCTATATGATTATTTATGATCTATCAATCCGATGATACTCTAAGTAGATTATGAGATTTTTAAAGCTATTTTGAAAAATTGGAAAACCAAATTGGCCAATGGACAGAAATTAAAAATTTTAAAAATGGGAATTTAACGCATTTGAATATAAAGAGCAATTTATTAATATTAATTCTTACAGCTAGCAAATTATCATGTTTACGTGTCCATGCACTCCTCACCCGCAACCCTTACCTACATATAAACCCTAGCAAATGTCACAGGGACTCATGAACAATATCTTGACTCCTTCACTTTTCACTATCATTCTGTAGGTAAGAATAAAGTCTAGTGTTTTATTTCACTTGTACATTTTCAACTTTCACTTCTTCCCAACTCCACATTTTTCAGCGACAACAAATATTGCACTGAAGGTGTTTGAACAAAGTACTGAACGAATCGATAATCCCCGAAATGGCTTTTAAATCACTCTTCTCTAAGCATAAACTCCTATCCTCTTACATTTTCCCTCCTGTTCAACACAAGTTCATTCAATCTCTCCCAACCCCACAAATTTCTACCCCAATACTACCTGAACTTGTCAATGAGATATCTCGTATAGTCAGTGATCACCGTCACCCTCACCATGATCTACACCTCTCTCTCACTCCATTTTCATCACAAGTTTCCACTGATTTAGTTGAACAGGTTTTGAAAAGGTGCAACCACCTTGGCTTTTCAGCCCACAGATTCTTCCTTTGGGCTAAATCAATTCCGGGTTTTGAACACAGTGTCGAAAGCTTCCGTATTTTGGTAGAAATATTAGGAAGGTCTAAACAATTTGCTATACTTTGGGATTTTCTTTTGGAAATCAGAGAGTCTTCTAGTTGTGAAATCACTCATGAAATTTTCTGGATTATTTTTACTGCGTATAGCCGAGCTGATTTGCCGGACGGTGCTATTCGGTCTTTTGTTAGAATGGATGAGTTTGGAATCAAGCCTAGTATTATTGATTTTGATTTGCTTTTGTTCACTTTATGCAAAAAGAAACATGTCAAGCAGGCTCAACAATTTTTTGATCAGAATAAAAGCCGTTTCTCATTGACTGCTAAAACTTACAGCATTCTGATTTCTGGATGGGGTAAGATTGGTGATTCGGGGAAGGCCCGCGAGCTGTTTAAAGCAATGCTTGAGCAAGGATGTGATGTGGATTTGCTTGCTTATAATAATATGTTAGAGGCCCTTTGCAAAGGAGGCCGTGTGGATGAAGCTATGGATTTTTTTAACGACGTGTTGTCAAAGAATGTTGAGCCAGATGCGTTTACTTACTCGATATTCATTCGGTCGTACTGTGATGCGGATAATGTGCATTCGGCTTTTGGGGTTCTTGACAAAATGAGAAGATGTAACCTTTTTCCCAATGTGTTTACATACAACTATCTTATGAAGCGGCTTTGTAAGAATAAAAAGTTGGAAGAAGCATATCAATTGTTGGATGAAATGATTTATAGTGGAGTAAAACCCGACACTTGGAGTTATAATGCAATACAAGCTTACCATTGTGATAATTGTGAGGTCAATAGGGCTCTAAAGTTGATATCTAGAATGGAAAATGATGATTGTCTTCCTGACCGCCATACGTATAACATGGTGCTGAAATTACTGATTAGGATAGGAAGGTTTGACAAGGCAACTGAAGTTTGGGAAACCATGGGGGACAGGAAGTTTTATCCTTCTGTCTCGACATACTCCGTCATGATTCATGGTCTTTGTAAGAAGAAGGGAAAGCTAGAGGAGGCATGTAAGTACTTTGAGATGATGGTTGATGAAGGAATACCGCCTTATGTTACTACCATTGAAATGCTAAGGAATCGGCTCTTGGGCTTAGGGCTTTTGGATAACATTGAAATTCTTGCTAATAAGATGAGACAGAGTACATCATGTTCAATTCAAGAATCGGCAAATATAATGATTGGCGCTAGAACTGCTCGAAAAACTTCAAGACATGATGAGTCCGACATAGAAAGTGATTGAAATAATGTTAGGGTAACACCATCCACTGTCTGAACCAACTCCTCCAATGTCTGGGATTATATCATCCATCATACGGATCATCAGCTAAATCATCCATGCCATATTATACAGCCCAGGAACATCTTCTGAGACTACTGGACACTATCATCCATCACCAGGGACCCCTCATCACTTTGAAGAATCACTTCAACAACAATTACAAGTCCCTGAACTGGTTGCAGTCTGATCATTGAGGTTCAAGCTAACTCTAAGTGTTGCTGATTTTCTTTGAATTTCAGTGTCTTGGATACTTCTGATGTTCAAATTTCAAATGGAGGAATGGAGGTGACTCATTTACAAAGTGCCGAGGTGTGTTTAATATAATAGTGTTTAGAGATGTATTTTCGGAATTAAAAGGCGTTGATAATTGATTGAATTGACCCTCGACCGCAATCATGTTTTGATATCCTTTTTGACTCTAAGTTGCTGCCATTAAGATATTTTCATCTCTATTTCTGAAGGTAGCTCTCATGTTTCATTCTCCTTCAATAACTACGTTAGCATTCATAATGATGGTTATGTTGTTGTGCCAAATTCCACCTCCCTTGGTGATTTCAGCTTCACGGTTGTTAGGTTTTTTTAAGGCTATTAAAATCTTTAGTTTCACAAGCTTTTTCTTTTTTAATGTAAAAATCTTTGCCCTTTATGTAAAAATCTTTGTCCTTTGTTTCTCTATTTGTTATTTCTCCCATACATGTGCTGCATAGTTAAGACTTGGTTGATTGACGATTTAAACATAGTTGAGATTTAAAGTTTATATTCAATCGATTAAGGCTAAGCACAAAACACATCTAAATGTTCCTGAAAACCTGAGAATGACCGATCTATTGTAATTCCTAGTTTCAATCTCTTCTCTAAATAATTAAGCTAATACTCTAACCTTTAAGAATTCTACAAATGTCACTGCAAAAATAGAGACAATATCAGATATCAACTGATGAATAGAAAGGCGAAGACTAATATTTAATACTTAAATGTTTGACGGTTAATCCAACACATAAAAATAGTTTTGGTTTACATAAAAAGTTTTATTTTTACAAATAATTTTTCTTAACATGTCTTATCACTTAATCAACTATGAAAATATGTGATTTAGTGATATAATATATCATTATATATTGTGGAAGGAGATATAATCTACACTTTTCTATTTAAATATGTAAAAATTGAAATTCTCATGACAAAGTGCGAATGAAGTTTTACATGGTCTTTGTTAGATAAGGAATCTTAATCTTAGGACTAATTTTTATTAAAATTCTAAAGCTTCAAAATAATTAAACCTCAATAACTGTATTCCTTTTTAGCTAATCAAACAAAAAGAAAATAATTGGTAATCAAACTATTCACTATGAAATGATTTTTACTACATTGATATAAATCGTGCATTAGAGATGTCTCATCCCCAAAAAATAAGACTAGGTCTTTGGCACTAATAAACACCCTAGAATCACATTATCCCTCTAGGCCTCTTCCTTAAGGGGTTAAGAATTGAGATATCTTACCTTAATCACATTGTTCCTTCAAGTCTTGTGTTTGAAGGGTTGTTAACTAGGATGTTAAACCTTATCACGTTGCCCTTCCAAGCTTCATGTTTCATTCTCCTTCAATAACTACGTTAGCATTCATAATGATGGTTATGTTGTTGTGCCAAATTCCACCTTCCTTGGTGATTTCAGCTTCACAGTTGTTAGGTTTTTTTAAGGTCACTAAAATATTTAGTTTCACAAGCTTTTTCTTTGCCCTTTGTTTCTCTATTTTGTTATTTCCCCATGCATGTGATTCATAGTTAAGATTTGGTTGATTGATGATTTAAACATAGTTGAGATTCAAAGTTTATATTCAATCGATTAAGGCTAAGCACAAAACATATCTAAATGTTTCTGAAAACCTGAGAATGACAAACCTATTGCAATTCTCAGACCTATTGTAATTCCTAGTTTCAATCTCTTCTCTGAATAACTAAGCTGATACTCTAACCTTTTAGAATTCTACGAAAGTCACTGCGAAAATTGAGGCGATATCAGATAACAGCCAATTGACAGAAAGGCGAAGACTCATATTTAATACTTAAAGATTAGACGGTTAAACCAATACATAAAAATAGTTTTGGTTTAACTCAAAAAGTTTTATTTTTACAAATAATTTTTCTTAACGGGTCTGATCACTTAATCAACCATAAAAGTATGTAGTTTAGTGATCTAATATACCATTATATATTTTGAAGGAGATATAATCTACACTTTTTTATTTAAATATGTAAAAGTTGAAATTCTCGTGACAAAGTGTGAATAAAGTTTTACATGGCATGTGTTAGATAAGAAATCATAATCTTAGGACTAGTTTTTATTAAAATTCTAAACCTTCAAAATAACTAAACATCAATAACTCTATTCCTTTTTAGCTAATCAAACAAAAAGAAAATAATTGGTAATCAAATTATTCACCATGGAATGATTTTTACTACTTTGATATAAACCGTGCATTAGAGATGTATCATCCCCAAAAAACAAGACTAAGTCCTTGGCACTAATAAACACCCTCGAATCACATTGTCCCTCTAGGCCTCTTCCTTGAGGGGTTAGGATTTGAGATATCTTGCCTTAATCACATTGTTCCTTCAGGTCTTGTGTTTGAAGGATTGTTAACTAGGATGTTAAACCTTATCACATTGCCCTTCCAAGTTTAACTTTGGTAGGGCCTCAAAGGACCCGACAAACAAACTATGTTTCCTGTAAGTTACATAAAACGTACTTAGGCACAAAAATTCACGATCAGGTGGCAAGTACATGATCCAACCTGGCCAAATATTCTTCAATCATAGTTCGGGGGGAAAACATAGCGAGCCACATGTTACGAGAGTAACTGAAGTCATCATAAGTCTCATAGGTTAATTGGACCCCCTATTATGGGGAATAGCTTAATCCACTCACCCCCACTATCTAGTCAAAGCTAGAAAGCGTGTGGCCAAATTCATAGGCACAAGAGTTATTCTTCTCAGCAACCCCTGAATCAAATAACCCATCCTATCAATATCTTTACTAGATAACTAGGTAACATATTCACTCTTTTAGAGATTAAAACACCAAATTCATCTTGCTGTCAGGACGACCCCTATTATACCTAACATAAATATAGTCATATTGAGGTCAATCGAGATGAACCAAACCACATTTAAAAAAATTTGTCTAGAAGCAAACTGATGTAACACTCTGCATGCAACTCCATAAAATCCTCTCAGATTATCCAAATCTAAGATATGCCTTATATAGGGATCCATATAACCCTCTTTGGACTATCTAAACCTAAAATAGGCCTCATTTTAAGCTTCTTGAAAATCTTTCTCAAAAATCCAAACGCTAAAAACACCTCATCTGCGGGTTCCCTAGGATCATTCAATTGTGAATGCCTACCCAAGCTCAAACACATGATAAACCCTTCTTAGATAAGATTTGTCCAATAAAATCGATCCATCCAAGCTAGGTCTGGAACATAACCTTCGTAGGCCCAACTCTGTAATATCAACATCAAATCTCCAGTATTAATTCTCTCAAACGACTTGAAGGGAAGTCCAATCGATATGTCATCAACACAAAGTTATGGCAAAGACAACAAACCCGACAACAACGACGATATCGGGGGCTATAATTTAACACACTTTTCTCATAATTCCGGTCATCAAGGAATAACTATATAAAACCTCTTAGTCAAAGTGTAAGTTACAAAACATCTTATTCAATACCTCTCACTTTGTCTTTGTTTACTAACTTAAACGTCAAAATATTTACATGTATTATCCTTATCTTTGTTTATTAACTTGGAGATCAAAATATTTGCATGTATTATCCTTCACCAGCATCTAGAAGTGGCAAAACGGATCCGACATGTTGGATATCTGTTTTTCCGCACTTTTTTATGGAGTGGATTTAGATTTTAGACATGCACCCTCTAATGTGTCTGCTCTGTCCTGCTTAATTTTTTTACGGGCTTTTGCGGATGCAGACAATAATATAAATTTGTGTATTTTTAAATTTAAAAGTGTAGTATCCGCAGATCCGCCTTGCCCCATCCTTATTTTTTGTAGAACGAGTCAAAATTTTAGTCATGCACCCTTAACTATATTTATCCAACTCTATCCTATTTTTTTACAGAACGAAGTGATACATTTTTTTACAAACATACTCGTTTGTCATCTCTGCCAACAACCAACTAAGTGATGCACACCAACTTGTTGACCACCTTCCACTCAACTGAATTAAGCTGGGTAACCCAATTCAAATAATAGTATTAAATACCGGCAAAACTATCGTTTTTTAAAATTTTAATGTACTGACGTAAGACGTTTGGCATTTTCCTAAGTTTACCTCAAATTCTTTGGATATATATTATCATATACTAAGGAAATTGATGGGTAAGTTACTGTTACGCGGTTGAGTTTATATGGGCCATCCAGTACCTTAGTCTATACGTCAAATGTTAATTCTTGACCGCTAGAACAAAGCACCACCCCAATTGATTGATTTTGTAATTAAATATGAGGTACCATAACTCATAGAGACCTTCTCCTACAATGAAACTCAACTTCATTGCAATTAACAACACTATTTCAACCACGTATTCCTCGTCCCATGTATCCATTTATACAAATGTTCTTCTAAAAACTATTTTAAAGACTATGTTTAATCATTTAAAATATAAATACCTTCCAACCCCCTTCAAACCTCATCGAATACCAAAACACATTCTATAATCATTCACAGAAAATGGAAATTGAAGCAAGGCAAGGGGTGGTAGCAAAAAAGCTATGGAAAATGCTACGTGTACTATTGTTCATCATAAGAAAAGGCATAGCCAAGACCAAAACAATGATAAATCTCAGTTTGATTCTCAAACGTGGAAAACTTGCTGGGAAAGGCTTCATCAACACTCTCATGATGAATCGTCAATTATATTATTCCTCCTTCACATGTCGCTCCTGCGACAACAATAACTCCTTTATATCTCCATTGGAATTCGAATTCAGCTGCAGCAACACTCCTCTCCACCACTCTAGCCGCCAATTGTCGAGGCCGCGCCAGCGATATAGAGATGATTTCATCAAGAATAATAATAATAATAATGACATTATGTTGAACAATGAAAAGGTGGAGGCAGTGAGAAATTCTTCTTTGGATACATTGCCTGGTTTTGGGAGAGAGCTAAGAGTTAGTGATTCGCCTTTTGCGCTCAAAGACCAAGAGGACAGTTATCAAGTGGACATGGCAGCTGAAGAATTCATAATCAACTTCTATAAACAACTCAGTAGACAAGACAGATCAATAGCGACTTACGACTCACCATACAATTAATTAGTTTTCTTAATTTCCACTTATGGTAGTAATATTTATCTTTGCTATCAGTTACACTGATTGATCACTTGTCTTTAGTGATATCATGTGGGTATATAATTTAAATAAATTTGAAGTTTGAAATTTGAGATGGAGGTTTCTTTTTAATCTTACAATAGTTTCATGTATTAATCAAATTAAAAATGAGTATTGTTCTTTTAACATATTTGTTACTATCATGTTATGTTATCTCATTTATTGAGGAATCACATGTTCTAGATTTGAATATAGCTCAGATATGCATTAGTGTTAAATTTTGTGAGAAATGTTTTTTGTCAATCATAATATTCATATAAAGGATATTGTGTTAGTGCGTGTGTGTTTGTGTGCGTGTGCGTAAGTGCGTGCGTATATGTGTGTTATGTTGTGAAAGTAGAAATGATCAGAGAATGGTGGTTGCAGTGAGCAACAATGGATTTGAGCTTCTGATGTGGAGGAAGAGAGGTTGACCTATAAGGTTAATATTTTAATGCTCAAGTCAGTAAATGAAGGAGAAGAGTGAATGCAATTTGAAATTAAAATGGTCTACTTAAATTCTTTGTGTGTATCCTTTATATAGAGGGGATTGTTATAACAACTTGCTATTTGCTAGGCGTGAGATGCAAAGAGCCGTGAGATGTGTTATATCCCAATTTTTGTCCATAAGATCATCCATCACTCTATCATTTCATAGTATCACAATACATCAAGATCACACATTTGAGTTGGTTATCTCTTCTACTCTCTTATATCTTTAAGTTTACCCTTGAGAGATCACCAAACACCTTGAATTGTGTATTTTGTATATGTGGGTTTCATGTTTACTAACCTTTGACTAAAATAAAAAAAAAGATACACGTGTTTCCTTTTATGCTTTGTACATTGTAGGTATTGAGTTGAGTGCATTTCTCTCACCTCCTAAGCTAGAGTTTTGAAGATTGATCCTTAGTCAACTGGCTATTCATTGAACTTTAAAAGCTTGAACTTCAAGGCTATGATTATGGCATCAAAATGTTAGAGTTTGATAACTCTCTCAAATTCATTTGGTCAAGTTTGTCTCAAAGTTAGTGGTTGAACTCATCAAGAAGCTCCATAGATTCATGTGCTTATTTTCATGCCTTCTTCAACAAGTTTCATCAAGCAATGCGTCTTCTTATCAAGTATGCCTCAAGATAACATCATTTCAAAGTCTCATGTGATTCATCATATCTTAATTTGAAAGAAAGGTTCAAAAGATTCAAAGTTGATCAAAGTTGGTTTGACCTAATTTAGCAAGTCCTTGATTCTATGGTCACAAGTGCATAACTCTCTCAATTTTAAATATTTTGAAGTGGTTCTTTTTGCTATTGATTATTCTCATCATCCACAATAACTTCTCTTCACACGATAAGATCCAATTGTGCAAGGAAAGTCATCAAAAGTTTGAAAGGATTACAAGTCCTTTGAGGAAACCATTAAAATCTTTGACGTGACTTCAAGAGATCATAACTTGGTCAATTTTCATCTTCTTGAGCCTATTCTTTTTCAAAACAATCGTGAGGATGTCTACTACAACTTTGATTCAAAGTGCAAGATCTAAAAATATTTGGAAAGTTATGGAATTGATGAAAATATTATAGGTCATTTATGAATTTCTCAAGAAATTTTCATAAACTTTCAAGGACCATAACTCTCTCATTTTTTTTTTGATTTTTGAGCGATCTCAATTCTAAAATTCTATTTCAAGATTCTACTTCATTTCATCTTTGTCGTAATCGGAAAAAAATAACGAGTCGCCACCACTACTCTTTGTCCTAACGACGGGTGAATAATGGAATAACTCTAATTGTACATAGATTCTAAGTTCTTGATTCACTTTAGACAACGGGAAGGTGTTAGGAACCCCTCATCTACCTTGTTCTCAAGGAATCCGAGGATTTAGATTAAAAGGGTTGGATAGATTTTTAATTTTTTAATTAGGGGAATTCGTCTTGGTTTTTAAGCCCCATGCCTACGTATCCTCTTATGAGGAATCAAAGTCTCAATTCGTAGTTCAAAGTGTTTGATTGTTTTTTTTATGGATTGTGGAAATATTTTGAATTAATCCTTGAACCAAGTCTAGATTTGAAAATACCAGAATCATAGACGCAATTCGCAGTTAATATAAAAGATTTCCACAATCCTTTTTGAAAATATATTGAATTTGAAATTAAGTTAATAGAAAAAATATCATTATTTGATAGGTTAGCTATTTTGAATAAATTAGATTTAAGTTTGAGATTATGATTGTTTTAATTTAAAAAGATTGTGTTAGATTTATATGAAAAAATAAAAAGAAATAAAAACAAAAGAATATAAAATGGTAAAAATGTTAAACCTAAATCCTAAAAAACTAACATGGCTACATTGGAGTTTTTCAACTAAAAGCTCATGTTAAACTTAATAACTAATTGTAAATTCCTACTATTTTTTAATAATGATAATAATAATAATAATAATAATAATAATTATTATTATTATTATTATTATTATTATAAATAATGGAAAAATATAGTTGCTAAAATGAGGGAGGGGGCGGACCCCTTGTTTATCAAAATATTAGGTTGTTATTTTTAAAGTAAAACAAGTATCCAACCAAAGATTGTCACGTGACAATGAGAAATTGAAAAAAATAACAATACCATCACTTATTAACATAGAATAAAATATAGTAAATATTGAATAAAATTACCTCTTTCCCTTTCGTAGATCTTAGGTTCTTCTATCAAGAAAAAAATTTCTTTCTCTCTTGTTTGCCTGCTTCTTCGTCGCCTTTATTCTTATTCTTTAAACATAAAACAAAATAACACCTTGCATAAAGTAAAAAGAAGAAAGCACCACAAGGGAAAAATATTGGTGCGGTAGAGTTTTTTTGGTGAAAATTGAATTGTGAATGATTGTTCGTTATTGTCTGTTAAAGACAAAAACAAAATCGTTGGTTCGTAGATAATTGGTGATTTATAAATGATTATTGATTCTCCAAATGGTTGCTGATGGAAAAAATTTAGGTGTTCCGTTTAAAATCCTAAAATTAACCAAAAGAGTTGCGTAGAAAGAATGTTTGTGGGAGAAAGATAGAAAATTGTTGATGACGAATATGAAGTGAATAAAGCTCTATTTATAGGAAATTTTTAGGTAAAAAATTAAATATGATTCACCTATTTTTGGCAAGACTTATACTGATTGAGGCTTGATTGAAACTTGGAGAATAAGATTATGAACCTAGACACTTTTGTGACTTTTTTCAATATTGTGATTGGTTCATGATTGGTGAAGATTTGATTCTGACAGATTTATTTATTTTCTTAATTTTAACTATTAAGTGCATAAAATCAAAGATTTTAAAAAATTAATTAATTAAAATTAAAATTCTCATTTATAAAAGAAAATTCTAATTAAAAAAAAGAAAAAAAGACCTTTTCTAACCCTTTCTATTTTCTTTTCATGAATTGACTAATTAAAATAAATCTAAATCTAAATGAATATTATCATAGTATAAATAAAAATTAGTTGCACTCAAAAAATTAAAAATTAAAAATAAAAAATAGTGTTAAAATAATCTAAAATTAAAATAATCCTAATAATAATGAGATAAAAAATTAGTAACAATAATAATAAATTCTAAATTTATTAATAATAAAACTAAATTAAAAATCTAATATTCTAAAACTTAAAATTAAAACAAAATCAAATATTGGAGATGGAAATAGAAATTAAATCAAAGATTAAAATTAAAATTTGAAAATGAAAATAGAAACTAAATCAAAGATTAAAATCAAATATTGAAAATAAAAATAAAAACTAAATTAAAGATAAAAAAAATTATATCTAAGATTGTAAATTAAAGATTTAAAATTATAATAAAAATCAAATCAAAATATTTATTTTAAAAATTAAATAGAATAATCTTTGATTTATTTATTAAAATAATGATTCTTTTTTTTTTTGTTTTTGATTTTCGTCTAAAAGCTGCACAAAAATGATTATTTAAATAAAATAATAAAATTCTAAAAAAGGCCTAATAATAAAAATAAAAATTAATTTAAAATAAAAGAAAAATGTAATTTTTATTATTTTATGATTTGAAAATAATGCAAAAAAAGGTTAGCAGTAAAGAAAAGACATATAAAAGAGAAAAAGAACAATAAAGTGACAAAGATGAGATTTGAACTAAGGTTCTCTCATACTTACACTCTTTTCTCTCCTTTCATTACCTGCTAGGCCATTGTATTTATTCAAAATAAAAATGCAGCTTAGAAATTATGAAGGGTGAGAAATATTTGTTATTTAAGAAATAAAAATAATCTAAAGTAAACTATTATATATATATATATATATATATATATATATATATATATATATATATATATATATATATATATATATATATATATATATATATATATATATATATATATATATATATATATATATATATATATATATATATATATATATATATATATATATATATATATATATATATATATATATATATATATATATATATATATATATATATATATATATATATATATTAAGTAAAATAAATCAATGTTAAAATGTCAGTATAAATAAACTAAATATTTTACAAAACTCAAGTTTGAAATAATTTGATGGTTAGAAATGGGCAGAAAAATTTGGGGTATGACAGTTGCTCCTATTTAGTTGCTCTTTGATTGAGGGTGCGAGAAAACGCATGTCTCGCACATTCGAATAAGATGGTTATTAAATAATAGAAGACCCTAAAATTTGACCAAAGATTGACTAGATAAGGATACACTGTACACCATACCTCAGAGGATGAAGAAATAGGCAAAGATGGTGATGTATCATCCTACCAGAGTTAGAGCGAAAAGTGAGATTGACCTAGATATGAAGACACAGACAACTCGCCAATACTTAGAAAAGAGATCATATATTTTGCATATTTATCGTAACCTAGGAGGTAAATAACACAAGTT